TAAATTTAGTTATTATTTTTTTATCAATTTTAAGTTTTCGTTTGGAATAATTTTCATGAACTTATCTATTAGGAGATATCTTGGGAAAATTACCGTACATGCGATATCTATTAAAATTTTGACATCCTCACTTTTTGGAAAAAGAAGTTCAAGATACAAGTTTATGTTCAAAAAATAAATTAAACAATAAAAGTCTCCTTATATTTATGGAACTTATAATTGGAACATTTTTACTACCATTCCGCAGGGTGAGGGTTCCGGCCAACATAAAAAAGGAAAAAGTTTTTTGTAATAGTGAAAACTGTAGGTCCCTCTCCTTTGTGCGACAACATCAAGGCGCATGCCACAATCGGAGGAGTAGCTCGGCCAAACACTAACATATGTCGATGGTCCTCTGCAATAACGGCATAACTAAAAATTTCAGGTTTTTGAGTTATATAGTGGATTAGGTTTATAAATAACCATATTCTTCTGAGGCAAGTCGACATAGGCTTTGTTGTTACCAATCCGGCAGCGGCAAAGTTTTGCCATTTGGAATAAAACCGAAGTAGCCAATCCTTACTACTGAATAGAGATGGCACGGGCCCCTGTATAATCCCGCGGGTACGGGCCGGAATATTTGCTGTCAGCACGAACTCGTGCGTGTATGGGCGTTCAGTAAAATTTCATAAAAGCACGAATAAGCACGAAAAAGCGCGTTGCCAATACTACAAATTTAGATAAGCTTTTGTTTTTATCAAAAAAAAAGCAAAAAAAGAAATACTTGGAAACCGATAGAAAAAATAAGACCCTTAGTAGTTTTGTTTACATATTTGTACATAAAATACCTTCCACTTCCACTCCCAGAAAATACATAAAAAAAAAACTTTGATGTAAAAAATTGATTCGCTTAAGTAAATATACATACATAAACACAAAATTAAAAATATGTACATATGTATACATACAATAAAAGTTGGCTCTTTATTTCCGGCCTGGGACGTGTCCCGTCGTGCCGGGCCGGGCCGGGCCGGGCCCCACTAAAATTCTTAACGTGCGGCCTCGTGCGTGTTTTAAAAGCTGATTTTGCACTCTTGCCGGGCCGGGCCTGAAAATTTAGGCCCGTGCCCATCTCTACTACTGAACAGTGACAAATATCTAACATTAATCGTGAATATTGGCATAAGCCAAAAATTCTGAAATAACGACACTTTTCAGCAAAACAAATGGATTTTTTTTTCGTTTAACTACATACGAGTTGTTACTTATTTCGTAGTTTTGCAGACCAACACTTACTGAATCTTTAGAAAAAGACATAATTTGAAAGCTTACAATATGACTGTAAATAATCCGGAATTATTCCGTTCCAAGACATATTATTGCGAAATTACGAAACAAAAAGTCTTTAATTGGCTCTACTGAAATATATGAAATTTTGAGTTGTGTCGTTATTGCAGAGGACCATCGATGTGTAAGCGCCTTTCTATTATTATTAGTAATGATCAATACAATTTTAAATTACATAAACCCAGTCACAGCACTTTTTTGTATTCGACACTTCCAAAAATCACATAATACATAAAATAAATAAAAGCTGTTTTGATCAATATTACATAAACTGGAAACTGTTAAAAATAAGTGCGCTTGTGTACAGAGATTTTAGAACCTATTTAGTTCCTAAAATGTCTGTTTGCAACAGATAACAATAAAAATTCACATCAAATTGCTAAGAATGATGAAGGAAATCGATTCAGACATGCCTGTTTAAATGGCCGTGCGTGCACAAAACAAGCCAATGTTAATTAAGACGCTATTCAAGTATTGTGTAACCACCAGTGGGAAGGCGGGTGGGGAGGAGGCCTTTGGTTTGCTTATTTTTAATGACAAGGGGCAACATTTCTTCAAATAAAACATTAATTACAAACGCACAAATTTTGCCTGCAATTTCGATCACAATTGAACACTGCACTTCGCTCTCGTTTCGAATTTTTGAAGGCGTTTTTTAAGGTATTTAGTGGTTTAACACTTCTTGGAGGTACTTGGTATTGTAAGAAAAATATGCGCAATTCGATGCCTTACTATATTTTTTTGTAAAGAATGCCCGTTTTCTTTAAATTTGTAAAATTACAAAAATTTTTTTATTTTGTTTACATCTGTCATTTGTTACAATTAAAGAAAAGTCTAAGAGTTGCCAAATATAAACATTTTTATATCTATTTATTGTAATAATAATTTACAATAATAATTTATTTAATTGATATTTTACTAAAACACAAATTTGGAGTCCTAATACGTTTGTAAAACTATTTATCACAAAATGTTATTAATTGTTTGCAAGCGTACTATAGTTTTTATGCATTTTGAGAACAAATAAGGGAATAATATATACATACATGTGCGTACTTCCACTCCATAGAACCACGGTTAGATCCCTGGTCAGATCATAACCCAAAATAGCAGTAGTCCTTTCGGCACGCAATTACAAACCTTCGAGTATATATCCGCCATTTGGCGTTCGGTGTCAGCCTTAAATATGTAAGTGTCTCCATTTGTGTCACCACAACAGAACTCATGCCTCAACTTTGAGGATAAGCTCGGCCAAACACTTAGAAAAATATTTCAGCACCAAATATTTGTTTAGTTATTTTAAGGGAGATGGCGATCTTCAGATTTCATATTTTGAGTACACAAATATCAACCCTGATACAACAAATAGTATTAGTACTGATTGATAATGACAGATTGCATTCCCATAACCGTACAATCATACACGATTGAGTTTTTTTTTGCATTCACATTCTCTATGAGAATGGGTCTTAACCATTCCATAACACTCTACATATGTTGTGTTTACGATTTGTAACCAATCTCAAGAGTGGTTGTTAAATTTTTTAAATCAAACAATCACATTTTTGAAACAAAAAAAATGAGAATGCACACTCAATTGATTCATTACACAGCTCTGCTGTATATGGAGTAGGGTGTGATGTCGAGAATAGCAATCGGCACAGTTGTAGGAACTCGTGCATTTCGACACCGTATGCCCGAAGGACAGGCAGTTAAAACAACTATTGTTGGTTTTAATAAAAGCGATCCTATCAGATATCGACATATTCAAGAATTTTTGGCACATATGCAATCTGTGATCATTTCTTTGACACATTTTGCAAGTAAATTTGCTTACACTAGTTTGGAAGGTGCCAAGTTTCTTTTGTGGGGTTCAGAGGTATGTTTATGACTTGAACTTTTTGGACTTTTAGAAACCTTGTTTCCTCTTAACCCCGAGACTGATTCCAAGGTTTGGAATCTACTTGACAAGAATTGTCCATGTCAGCCCACCTGGAAATTTCTGTTTTATTTTGCACTGATTGCTCCCACAGTGAAAGAGTATCTTCTGGTAGTTTTGTGGAGCAGAGGTATGTAATTGTTGGATCCCAGGTTGAAATGTCAATTTTATGACTCTTTAGGGAAGATATGCAATTGTTTATATCCCTTTGCATTCTCTTAATTGCACTCCCGCATTCTGTTTCCACCGCCTGTAAATTGAAGAGTATCTTCAACTGGGTGTTAACTAGGATCCTTTTATTTTCATACCTGTCGCACAAATTCTTCGAGGCTATGTTAAAACCATCATTTGTCAGGTCACATTTCTTAACAATTTCTCTGGCTTCACCCTGCGTTTTCTGACTAAGATAATAAAGTTTTTGAATGGGTGTAAGCCGCTTGTTCATTTTATATATAGCCGTGAACATGTCACGAAATGTTGGCCATGACAAATAATCGCCTTTGAATACGTCGATATCACAAGGCGGTAGGTGTAAATTATGCTGTGTGACATGTCCTCATCTTCCTTCTCGGATTTTGCAAATATTTCCGATAAATCGTTTATTTTGGACATACAACGCACAAAAGATGCAAAGCACGTTTTACCTTTCTTACGTATCGAACTTATATCTTTAGCACCAATTGATTCCGTAGCCGGCAAGTCATCAAAAAGTGCTTTGGCTTTCTCCCACATCACCTTTAGCTCCTCTTGCTGAATTTTCAGCGAATGCTTGGTGTGCTCACTTGTTGGTGTGCCAAGAAATTCGATATCAAATTCAATAACCGAGTCAGCTAAGCGAATGTATGTTTCCATTTTGAAGTTTTAACCACAACCTAATAAGATATCTCAAGATTTTTCCTCAGAATAAGCAACTCAAAGAAAACACCCACGATAGTGAATGACACAATTGAAAATATCACCAAATAGCCACCCTCGTTGCAAAAAAACACAAAATATGCCTCCCAACTCCACAACTTTGTAAATAAAAAGTTAAAACTTGTAACTTGTTCATTGTATCTATGTACATATATGCATAAGCGCTTTATTTAGTACTATATGTATGTGCGCGTGTGCTATGCTTCGATTATGCACTAGATCAGATTGGTCGCCACCCGACAATTAGATTTAATTTAATCTTATACTTTTTGATAAACACGTATATATGTGTACCCGATGCAAATATATAACACTTTTTCTGAAATCGGTGTAAATCTATACCTTGCGGTAGGGACTTTGTTAATATAAAATCGAAATAGCGATTTTGAGGTTAAGCCTCTGCAACCTTGCGAGTTGTATAGTATTTAATACACTTTATGCCACTTAAACGAAACTCTAATATTTGAAATAAATCGCACTATGAACGTTACATAAACTTTAAATCCGATTCTAAACTTATTATTTTGCAGTTTTTTAAGGAATTTTATTTCACTGAAGCAATGTGTTTGAACCGATTTTCGCGCGCATTTAGCAGTAGGGCTATTGTGCCTGTAGTGGACAGACAACAAATATGTTAGTGGACTGTAATTATGTGCACTTAATACGTCTTTTCGCTTCTAATTTTTCATAAAATCACCCGCACACTTTTCTTTTTATGTATATATGAAACTTTTCACCAAAAAAAAAAATACAACCAAGAGCTGTGATATTTCAAAAAACCACGTACCTTTTTAATGTGCTTTATGCTGTATTTTTGTAGCTGATGAATTCAATTGTACTGTAGCGACCACGTATGGGCTCCTTGATTAGCTGATGTGCTGGATTGCGGAATTGTCGTATCCAATGCTGCTGGAAAAATTTATTCTCGGCTGTTAAAGCTGCCTAGCGTTTTTGTTCTGGCTTATATCCGGTAATTCTTATAATTTTTGCTCACGGCGACGGAGGACCATGTTCATCGGGCAAGTATGGGCAAGAGCGCAGTTTTCGGGTGTGCCGCAAATTGGTAATAACCCAGTTTCCCGTTTGCACCGATGTATTTTAATTAGAAGAAAGTACACAAGGAAGTTTGTATTAACAAATAGAATTAACAATGGTTTTATTGCTTAATATATTAATATGTACAATTGTATTTTCAGGTTATATATGTATATAGTTAGATGAGGCGGTGAAAATTGGTGGCACGATGACGTCTTCTCAAAAGGATGTTCGGAAAACAAGTAACAGTCCGTTCTTTTTTTTAGTGAGCCCATCGAACCACGATCCAGAAAATAAAGGTCGCGCCATTCGCGGACCGCTAACCCTCTCTTCGTCGATTTGACAGCATCCACCTAATCGCTGATGTCATAAAATACTTTTGTTTACATTTACTGTTGCCAACTTGATGCTTTCCGCACCAAATTTAGTGGGTATTCAAAACGCAAAAATTATTGAGTGTGGTGCAAAGTTTATAGCAATCGTAAGTGTGGTAAGCAATTTTACAAAAATTTAAATAAAATTCATGGCACAGTGACAATCATAAGCGACAACGAAATATGTGCAGCACCTTCAATCATGCCAAAAGAATTCGACCGTTGTGCAAGAAACACATTGATTTTTATTAATTTGAATCGGCATCCTTATGTATTCATATAAAGTCCATAAAATACACCAATAAAAATTTGGTGCTTTTTCAAATTGAAAACTTGGCAACACTGCCTTTTGTTCGATGCTTCTTCTTCTTCTTTTTCTTGTCGAGTTCGTCTTGTTCTCTCATTCTGGTATATTTTAACGTCACGACCAGTTGCTCTCAGCTCGATTGGCGCAATCTTGTATTCTATCATTCTTGCCATCGAACGGCTTTCTATGCAAGGGAAATTTTAACATAGCAAGCGTTCGACAATAGAAAGCAGTTAACTGTTGTCTTATGTACAAATGTTAAATAGGGTGGCTCTTAAAATGCATATCTAAGACGCTGGCCTAAACAAGCTTATTTATACACATTTCATAACTTTATAAAACGCATTGAGGTAAACTCTTGATAAAGAACATATATAAATATACATATTAGTAATCTATTTTATACTTCATAAAATGATTCAACTAAAATGTAGAATAATCTTGCACTCAATGTTGTTGACAAATAATATATTTATTTTTGTATTATGATGTTTATATTTTATAATATGTGTTGGAGCCAAAAGCCTTCAATAGTTGGGAACCACTGGTAAGTGTTCTGCACGGCTGCGGGAAAACTACCGGTGCGCTTCTTTCGAAGTTCAAGATTATTTAATGCGATGTTCGGTTTGAACTGCGGTTCTTTTTGATGACAGCAGCCAGACCGACAGCAGCATTGAGTCAGCGATCACTATTTAAGGTAATATCAACAATACGTATGTATATTGTGAACATCCATTCCTTTGTCCTACTTTGCTTATGTACATAGTATTTGAGTAAGGCATATAACTTCGTATATGCGCTTGCAATAAACCATCTTACATACATATATACTTATTCTAATACAAGTGTTTATATTTCTTTTTCTTCCTTGTGATACATCGTCGTGAGTTCGCACCGGCGTACGTAGGTTTTGCTTCTCAGCAAAACATTTTGGTCCTCCTGAGCCGTCGAACATAACAGCGGAAGTACATACATCAATACCTAACTCTAACCCGAATTTCAGCAGAGAAGGAAGAAAAAACCCAGCAAATATTTTTAAGAACAAAAGCCCGATCGAGGAGCGAAAGTCCGAGGAAACCACGAACAAGTCAACTCAGCTATATTTAACGAAATACATACAAACATACAGGTGCGTGTGAAAAAATTCATAAATTGTTGAGCTCTGCAAAAAGAATAAAAAACGATACAGGTAGAAATAAAAGATAAAGCGAAAGTGTTTTTTCTTCTATAAATTTTCGAAAAAAAAAAATCAGTGCCATCTTAATCAAGTTGTACAGGAAAAGTGCAAATATTAAGCAAAATACATAAAAAAAAGTGCGAAAATACATAAACAAGCATATATTTACGTATGTACATATGCATAGTCGAAGCAGTGAAAAAAAAATAAAAAAAAAATAAATACCTTTCCACATAAATATATTGTGCATATCAAAAGCATATACATATTATTTAAAGTATATACAAAAAAAGCAACTCGTGAAAGTGAATGCATAAATCGAACTATAAATACATAAGTGAGTTTTCTTTTCTTTCACTTGGTTCTGCAATTCTGTGTGCAAATACATACATATGTGCATATGTGCATACAAAATTACTTGTGTACATACATTTTTATATACAGATATATGTGGTCATTGTGTACAAGAAAGTGACGTTCTTTTTGCATTTAAACGCATCTCGATAACTCAAAAGATTTAAATCGTTTCCAATTAATCAAATTATTTTGGTGGTGATCTCTTTAAAATAAAATTTTTTTTAAAAATCTTGGAGCATAGTATATTCAAATATTAATTTCGGCCACATCTATCTGTATTATTTATCTTCGAATTTGGTGTATTCCTTATTTACTAAATATAAATACATAAGTTTATATACATACATATTTACATTTCCAATCTCTCGAACTGAGAGATCTTTTTTTTTGGTGTATATAATCAGCATCGCGACATTTTTCGCTAGTTTACTGTGCGTGCCTAAGTACATATAAACAATCGTACATTTATATACAAGTACATACAGCACATATTTACCCGTATCGGTGCATTTTCGGTTTTTTCCTATTGCACGCACCTTTTGTTCGTGTTGGCGCTCAGCTGGTGACTTTGCATTTTTTTGCTTAGTCGCCTGTGTATTTACATTCATACACACCTACATACCTACAAGTGCATAAACATATTAGCACAAGTGACCCAGTAGGAAATTTTTGCATTGACCCTGTAGGAACTTTCTATATTTACATCATTAGTTTAAAGCCAATCAGTATTTGCTGTTTTTCGATTAATTGTTTTTCAATAATTTAGTTCTTTGTTATTTGTACATAAATCGACTCTCGTTCTTTGACAAGCAAGTTATTTCACTAGGTGCTCAGATCAGATTGTCGAATTCAATGCGGGATTCGTTGAAGCGACTTTGAACGAGCATTCGAAAATTTCTTTCGAGAGTTTGAAAACGGAGTTGATAGACATTTGGTCTAAAACTAAAGATGCATGCGAAAAATGCTTTCAAACTCTGAAAGATGAAGATGAGGTAGAAGCCGTAAAGGCCAAACAAAATTCAACTTTTAAAGATTATCTTTCGTGTTTGTCGCGCATTAGCGAAGGCATTCAGAAGTACAGCGTGACGGCTGCTACTGCCTCTTATGTGCCCCCTGCCCAAGTACCCAAGCGCTCCAATAATTTGAACCCACCGCCATGTGCCACAGAAATATTCCGTGGTGACTATGTGTCGTGGCCATCCTTCCGTGATCTCTTCACCGCGATTTACATTAATAATGCGGATCTGAGTAACATCGAAAAACTCTTCCACCTTCGACATAAAACAAGCGGCGAAGCACGAGACATCGTTAGCAAACCCCCACTATCAAATGAGGGATTCGACATCGCATGGTCAAATTTAAAGGCAGCGTACGAAAATAAACGGGTTTTGGTCAACAAGCAATTGAAGCTGCTTTTTTCGCTTCCAGTCATTCGGACCGAAAGTGCACCCGCGTTAAAGGAGCTCCAGCGAGGCATAAACGGATGTCTATCAGCGTTAGCAACGTATAACGTCAACGTTGGGAATTGGGATCCGATCCTAATCTTCCTGTGTTCAAACCGACTCCCTGAAACAACACTTTCTCTGTGGGAACAAACACTACTAGATAAAGCTGCTATACCGGAATGGAGTCAGATGGATACATTCCTCACTCAACGCTTCAGAACTTTGGAATCGATAGTGGATGTGAAATGTTCAGCTTCATCTTATTCAACCAACCAACATCAAAAAGCATTCTCACATCAACCCAACCCGACGGGTCGAAAGAAGGTGTCTCTGGCGACAAATATTTCTCAGTCTTACTGCATAATGTGTCCGAAACAACAACATCCTTTGCGTTTATGTACAAAATTCTTGTCACTTTCGATCAATGATAGGTTCACTTAAAAAACACAACTGCTGTCTAAACTGTCTTTCAAAAGGCCATTCGATAAAAGACTGTAAAAGTCAATTCTCGAGTACTAAGTGCAAAAGTAGACATCATACTCTACTTCACAGAGTGTCTTCTAACACTCAACCCCCAAAAGAAACTGCAGGTGGAACTGCTTCACAGGCATTCCATACAAATATACAGTCCGCTTCTTCTAGCAATATGTTGTCGACAGCTGAGGAAAATTTTAAATCGTCAGGCTTATCCTCAGCTCTACTTGGAACCGCCACGTTTCACATCTGCCACTTGGGCTCAATTTATATAGCTCGCGCTTTAATTGATTCAGCTTCAGAAGTCTCGTTTATTTCTGAACGACTTCGAAAACTTTTAAAACTACCGTATTCCAAGACAAATGCGGTTATTTCGGGATTGAATCAAAAGGTTTCTAACAACGCATCGAAAATTTGTTCGTTTGTTTTAGGCTCACCCCGTGATCCAAATCATTTAATAGAAGCTACTGCGTTTGTATTACCACAACTCACTGGTAACTTACCCTCGACCTCAATAGATGAATCCATTCTAGAACAACTGACTAAAGTACCTTTAGCAGATTCGAAGTTTTTGTAAAGCGGTCCTATCGATGTTTTGATCGGAGGAGATTTGTACCCCAAGGTTATGTTAGATGGGGTAAAGCGTAGTATTCAATACAACCTTCTGTCTCAAGAGACGGTGTTCGGGTGGATTGTTACTGGGGCATCTTCCACTGCACACGTCTCTTGCTTTGCCACAAAAGTCTCAATGGGAGAGGACATTTCGTTAGATAGTCAACTACGCAAGTTCTGGGAGTTAGAGGAAGTCCCAAAAAATAACCTTCAATCAGACGAGGATATGTTTTGTGAAGAGCTGTACTTGAAAACAACTACTAGGAATTCAGAAGGAAGATACGTGGTTTCGCTACCGTTTAAAAACTTTTATCCAACGGATGTTAAGCTAGGATCAAGCAATTGCATTTCGGCAATTTATTCGTAACGAAGCAAGGTTAACGAAAAATCCATCTTTAAAGGAAGAGTATGACAAGGTTGTTCAAGAATATTTGGATCTAGGGCACATGGAGAAAGTAGAGGCTCCAAGTGTTACGTGTTTAATAGTGACATCCAAAAAATGTACAGGCAAATTTTAGTCAACCCGTCTCATATGCCCTATCAAAGGATTCTTTTTGGAAAGGATCCACATAGTAGTATACAAGATTTTCAGTTAAGGACGGTAACGTTTGGAGTTAATTGTGCGCCATACTTGGCAATTAGGACTCTTCGGCAGTTAGCTCAGGATTCTCATGATTCACATCCACTAGCGGCTCAGATTTTACGAGATTCTATGTATGAAGATGACGTTTTAGCGGGATTTCACGATGTATCCACAGCTTTACAGGCACGAGACCAGCTGATAGAAGCACTTGATAGTGCAGGATTTTCTTTGAGGAAATGGTCTTCAAATACAAAGGAAATCCTCATGGATCTTCCTCATGAGTATTTATTAAAGAGAGAATTTTTAACTTTAGATGAGACAAGCACAACAAAAGCACTAGGGATTAGATGGAATGCTAGATTAGACCATTTTTCTTTAGCGTTCAGACCCTCCCTTCAAAGGATAGCTACACTAAACGAGAAGTGTTGTCAACGATAGCGAAACTTTTTGACCCAGCTGGTTGGCTAGCTCCGGTGGTGGTCGTAGCTAAAATAGTGATGCAACAAATTTGGTCAGATGGTACTCTCTGGGATCAGCCTATAAGTTCTCAAACACTTTTTAAATGGAAAACCTTTGTAGAAAGTTATAGGTATATCGATGTCATAAAAATTCCGCGTTGGGTGAATTTCAACATTGAGTCACCATTCGAAGTCCATACCTTTTGCGACGCGTCGGAAAAGGCATACGCGGGGTGATATATTTGCGGGTAGAAAACCACGGTACAGTGTCGTCACACCTTTTATTAGCAAAAACTAAAGTTGCACCAATAAAAACTATTTCGCTTCCTCGTTTGGAGTTGTGTGGGGCGGTTCTAGTTGTCGATATGCTTAGGTCTCTTCTAAATGAACTTCCTTTCAAGGTGGAAAACATATTTTGCTGGACAGACTCAACCATCGTTCTCTCGTGGCTCAAAAAGCGGCCCTGCTCCTACACCACCTCTGTCGCAAATCGAGTAGCAAAGATACAGGAATTAGTCGGATTTAGGCATTGGAATCACGTGGACTCGAAGGATAATCCAGCAGATCTTGGCAGCAGAGGAGCATACCCTCAGGACTTATGCGCAAGCGAGTTGTGGTGGTACGGCCCTTCCTGGTTAGGTAAAGATGCAGGGCAATGGCCATCAATGGATGACGACCTGGACGATATCACGATCGAAGCAAGGAAAATAAAGGCGCACGCTTCGCTTGTGTCAAACCATGAGGATCCCTTAGAAAGATTTTCATCTTTTCCGCGCGCACTACGTGTTTTAGCTTACGTCTTCCGGTTTTACAACAGGACTAACCGGCACACTCGAAGATTCCACTCGTATCCATCGCTAGCGGTTTCGGAGAGGAAATCTCGAAAATTCGTTATCGGCTTATAATTTTGGCACAGATGAAGCATTTTTTGGAAGAACAGAGATGTCTGACTTCAAAAACTCCAATTTCGCCGAAAAGCAAAATTTTAACCTTGAATCCCTTCTTAGACTGTCAGGGTATAAT